CTATGATGGCTCTTATTTCTCTAGGATATATTCCTAGGAGTGGGATTGCTGGATTGTATGGTATTTCTATTTCTAGCTTCCTAAGGAAGTGCCATATCGATACTAAATGGTTGTATCATTTTGCATTTCCACCAGCAGTGCATAAGAGTTCTGATCTCCCCACAGCCTCTCCAACATTTGTTATTTCCAGTTTTTTTGATTAGTGCCAGTAATGCCAGGGTGAGATGTTATCTCACTGTGGTTTTTATTTGCATTTCTCTGGTGGCTAGTGATCCCATTTCCTCATGTGTCTGTTGGCTGCTTGATGTCTTCTTTGGTGAAGTGTCTGTTCATTACCTTTGCCCATTTTTTAATTGGATTATTTGTCTTTTTGTTGCAGAGGTTTGGATTTTCTTGCAGATTTTAGAGATTAGACCTTTGTCTGACTTGCAATGTCCAAAACTTTTTTTCCAATCTGTAGGTTCTCTTTACTCTTTCGGTGAAGTCTTTTGATGAGTATAAGTGTTTAATTTTTAGAATATCCCTGTTATCTAGCTTATCTTCTGGAGTTTGTGTGTTGTTGGTTATGGTGTGTATCCTGTTAATGCCATATATTAGGGCCTCTAGCATTGATTCTATTTCTTCTTCTATGAACTTTATAGTTTTTGGATTTATATTTAGATCCATTTTGAACTAGTTTTGGTGTATGATGAGAGGTATGGGTCCTGTTTCATTTTTTTGCAGGTGGATATCCAGTTTTGCCAGCACCATTTGTTAAAATGACTGTGTTCTCCCCATTTGATGGACTTTGGGCCTTTGTTGAAGATCAGGTATCTGTAGGTGGATGGATTTACATCTGGGTTCTCAATTCTGTTCCATTGGTCTATGTATCTGTGGCTATACCAGTACCAGGCTGTTTTGACTACTGTAGCTGTATAGTAGGTTCTGAGGTCAGATAGTGTGAGTTCTCCTACTTTATTCTTCTTCTTCAGTAGTGCTTTACTTGTCTGGGGCTTCTTCTTTTTCCATATAAAGTTAATGATTAGTTTTTCCATCTCCTTAAGGAATGTTGTTGGTATTTAGATCGGGATTGCATTGTATTATACATGCTTTGGGTAGAATTGTCATTTTCACAAGTTGAATCTCTCTATCCACAAGCATGGTATGTTTTTCCATTTATGTAGATCTCTTTTGGTCTCTTGCAGTAGTGTTTTGTAGTTTTCTTTGTATGTTGGTATATTGCATATTGGTCTATAATTTTGTTTTTTAGTGGTGTCTTTGCCTGGCTTTGGTATCAGGGTTATGCTGGCTTCATGCTATGAATTTGGGAGTATTCCTTCTTTTTCTGTTTTGGAATAGTTTGAGTAGGACTGGTGTGAACTCTTCTCTGAATGTTTAGTAGAATTGTGCAGTGAAGCCGTCTGGGCCAGGGATTTTTTTTGTTCAGTTTTTTTTTTTTCTTAAATGATCTCTTCAATTTCTTCTTTTGTTATGGGTCTATTTAATTTTCTTTACTTGTTTGTGTTACTTTAGGTAACCCATTAATAACCCATTGCTGTCAAGTCGATTCCGACTCATAGTGACCCTATAGGGCAGAGGAGAACTGCTCCATAGGGTTTCCAAGGAGTACCCGGCTGATTCGAACTGCTGACATTTTGGTTAGCAGCCATAGCTCCTAACCACTAACGTAGTGTGTTTCCAGAAATTTATGTATTTCTTCTAGGTTTTCTAATTTGTTGGCAGTAGTTTTTCATAGAATTCTGTTATGATCTTTTTTATCTCAGTTGGTTCTGTTGTAATATTGCCCATCTTATTTGTTATTTTGGTTATTTGCATCTTCTCATTCTTTTCCTTTGTGAATTTGGTCAGTGGTTTGTCTATTTATTAATCCTCTCAAAGAACCAACTTCTAGTCTTTTTGATTCTTTCTACTGTTTTTCTGTTTTCTATTTCATTTGTTTCTACCCTGGTGGCATAGTGGTTAAGAGCTCAGCTGCTAACCAAAAGGTCGGCAGTTTGAATCCACTAGCCGCTCCTTGGAAACCCGATGAAGCAGTTCTACTCTGTCCTATAGGGTCACGATGAGTCGGAATTTACTCAATGGCAACAGGAATCTTTGTTGTTTCTTTTTTCTTCTATTTACTGTGGGCTTCTTTTGCTTTTCTTTATCTATTTGTTTGACCTGTAGGGTTAAGATATTGATTTTGGCCCTTTTTTCTTTTTTGGTGTGTGCATTTATTGCTATGAATTCTCCTCTGGGCACTCCTTTTGCTGCATCACACAGGCTTTGGTATGTTGTTTTTTCATTCTCATTTGATTGAAGGAACTTTTTTCATATCATTTTTGATTTCTTTTATTACCCAGTGGTTTTTCAGCAAGGTGTTACTCAGTTTTCAGGAATTTGCTTTTCTCTCCCGTTTTTCCTGTTATTTTTAGTTTTATAGCTTTGTGGTCAGAGAAGATGCTTTGCATTATTTTGATGTTTTTGAATTTATTGAGGCTTGCTTTGTGGCCTAAGTGATCTTTGTACGTTGGAGAAGAATGTATACTGTGCTGCTGTTGGGTGGAAAGTTCTGTATATGTCTATGAGGTCAAGTTGGTTAATTGTATTATTTAGATCTTTTGCATCTTTGTTTTGTTTCTTTCTGTTTGTTTTGTTCGTCATTGAAAGTGGTGTGTTAAAGTCTCCTATTATTATTATTATGGAACTGTCAATTTCTCTTTTCAATGTTATTAGTTTGTTTTATATATTCTGGAACTCTGTCGTTGGGTGCTTATTTATTATGGTTATGTCTTCTTGGTGGATTGTCCCTTTAATCATCTCTCTGGCAGGGTAGAGTGGGTGGCTGGGGTTCACGCAAGTGCTCTCTCCATCAGGGGATGGATGGGTGGTCAGGAGTCATGCAGGATATCTCTCCAGCGAGGATGGGGCGGGGCAGGTGGCTGGGAAGTGGGGAATTAAAAAAAAAAGAAAAAAGGGGGTAGGGCCTTTCTATTGCCCCATGTTCACCACTTGCCCTACCAGTCAGGTATTGCCACTGGAGAGTCACCCTGTCTCTGGGTCTTGATTTCTCCCTGCTGTGTGTACACCAGGAGGCCTGAAGCTCTCATCCTCCTTCCCGTATTTTCCCTCCTTAGTTCCAGTTCACGTCCTGTTCACTTTGCTCTACTTCAGGTAAGTCTTTGCAGTTTCTGTGTCTCCTGTTGGGAATTCCGTGATGTTGTCTTCCTACACTTCTCACCCAGAGTCACTGCTGGCTTTGTCTCAAAATGGCCCCACAGTGCTGAACTGGCTGGCAGGCCACCTCCACTCCGTATCTCCATGTTCGCTGGTGTCTTTCAGTTTCTTTTTCCAATCTGTGTTTGATGTAATTCTATATCCTTTCATCTGATGCTCAGGGTTCCAGGGTTGTCATCTGTATGTTACACTTTCTTGGGTCTTTGCTGTAGAGAGACGGTGTGGTGTGTCTGACTAGGCCACCATCTTGAATCAATCTCCACTTTCTGTCTTCGTTCATTCCATTCTCTTAGGCTGAATGCTCTTTCCTTCATAAAGCTTTGCTTGAATGAATAATTCCATTCTTGGTTCTTGTAGTATATTGGTTACGTTTCTCTTTATCATATTCATTCTGACTTGCATTAGTATTGGAATAAAGTTAAAAGAATAGAAGGTTAAGCTGGAGGCAGATGTCAACTCATTTAGGAATTTTCTAACAATCTGTTGTTAGCTGCTGTTGAGTTGGCCCGACTCACGGCGACGCCATACACAACAAAATGAAACACTGCCCAGTCCTGCACCATCCGCATGATTTGGTTGCAGATTGGACTGCTGTGATCCACAGTTTTCACTGGCCGATTTTCAGAAGCAGATCATCAGGCCTATTTTCCTAGTCTGGAAGCTCCACTGAAACCTGGTCAACACTGTAACAAACATGCAAGCTACCACTGTCATGGGTTATGGCTGCACAGTAAGTGCACTGACTGGGAATTGAACCCAGATATCCCATATGGAAGGTGAAAATTCTACCACTGAACCCCCAATGTCCTCTTCTAATAATTTAGACCTGCCTAAAAATGTCATTCTACACAAGCAACTCCTCACCATCCAGAACACCCATTTTTCAAAGCTCTTGCGGCTGTACCAAGGACTCTGCACCTGTTCAAGTAAGCTTTAATGTAGCTTCTACCAGTACTAAGAGGTGTGACCTGAGGTAAATTGGAACTTCTCTAGAAATGAATTGTTGTCCCTAAAATGAAGAGGTTGAACTAGATAATTTCTCTGAGTTTCACATTCCATATTCCTCTGCTTATTTCAGAGCACAGATAGCATGAAGTCTGAAAGAACTTAGGAATCTTGGAAAAAAGAAGGCTGTGGATTAGTAGTGGGTTGGACTCTGTGTCCACTTATTAAATAAGTTTTATAGTTTTGTATAGTTTATACCAGTGATTGGCAACCTTTCTCTGTAAAGGGCAAAATAGTAAACATTTTTTGGCTTTGCGGGCCATATAGTCTCTGTCACAATCACTCTGCTGTTGTAGTGTGGAAGCCATTATTCATAGACAATACATGAACGGGCATGGCAGGATTTGTCACACACTGTAATTTGCTGACTCCTAGTTTAAGGCCATAATACCTATCTTCTTACCATCCGAAGTTAAGTGAAGAAAAATGAGGGAAAAACACTGTTGATTCAATTTTATTAACTCTAAGTACACATGTAACTGGTCTTTCACATATAAAGGTTAACAATGCAACAGTTTACTATCATTTTCAAGTTATACATATTTTACATTAATGAACTAGATTTATAAAAGATACAAAAATATTCCATAGGCTTGGGGAGATATGATCATGAGACTTCTTTGTAAGGAGGGGTATAGGATATATTAGAGAGATTTTCAAGCTTAGAGAGAGCATATCAAAATTTACACTGTTTAATAAAGCTCTTGCTTAGATAATCATTTCTTCATTCATCAGAAGGCTTTAGTAGAGCAGCTTTCTTCTTATACTTGTCTGTAATCTCTCTGATATTTTCTAAGAGATCTTCAGACATGTATTCTTCATACTCTCTATCAACTTTAGCAAGCTGCTCCTCAAGATGTTTCTAGGGGAAACAATGAACAATTGTTAATGTAAATTTATGTCTTTTAAAGTGTTTAATTATAAAATTTATAAAGAGTATAACATTTGTAAGTTCAGAATAAGAATAAAAGTATTCTTTTTTTTTTTTGATTGTACTTTAGGTGAAGGTTTACAGAACAAATAGTTTCTCATTAAACAGTCAGTACACATATTGTTTTATGACATTGGTTAACAACCCCACGACATGTCAACACTCTCCCTTCTCGACCTTTTTTTTTTTTTTGTGAAAATATACATAGCCGAAGATACACCATTTCAAAAATTTCTACATGCACACTTCAGTGACATCGATTATGTTCTTCCAGTTGTGCTGCTATTCTCACTTTAGATGAAGGTTTATAGAACAAAATAGTTTCTCATTAAACAGTCAGTAGACATGTTGCCCTATGATAATAGTTAACAACCCCACTACACATCAACGCTGTCCTTATTCAACCTTCGGTTCCCTATCACCAGCTTTCCTGTCCCCTTCTGCCTTCTAGTCCTAAAAGGAGCATTCTTGTATTCACCATGCAGGCCCATTTTGTGTCCTTTTCTAATCACACTCCCCTTTTTCCTCCCTCAAAGGTAACCACTCTCCTGAATGCTATTTTTTTGGGTAGCAGGATACAGAGTGATTTTTATTTACTTTTTGGTTCTTCTGTTTTTTTAAAAAAAATTTATTTTGTTGTTGAGAATATACACAGCAAAACATACATCAATTCAACAGTTTCTAAATGTATCATTTAGTGACACTGATTACATTCTTTGAGTTGTGCAACTATTTTCACCCCCTTTTTCTGAGTTGTTCCTCCCCCTTACAATAAATTCACTGCCTCTTAAGGTTCCTATCTAATCTCTCAAGTTGCTGTTGTCAATTTGATTCCATATAGATAGTTCTTAAAAGAGCTTAATGCTCAAGGGAGACTTTTTTATTTTTTATTTTTAACTAATTAAGCTAAACTATTGTTTGGTTTTAAGAAGACTTTAGGGGATATTTTTGGTTTAAGGTTTAAAGATTATCTCAGGGCAACAGTTTCAGAGGTTCATCCAACCTTCATGGCTTCAGGAAGTCTGGGGTCCATGAGAATTTTAAAAGCTGTTCAGCATTTCCCCCCTTGTGATCAGGAGTCTTCTACAGAAATCTTTGATCGAAATGTTCAGTAATGGTAGCCGGGCACCATCTAGTTCTTCTGGTCTCATGACAGAAGAGGCAGTATTCATGGAGGCTATTAGCCACACATTCCATATCCTCCTTGTATTCTCCTCTTTCTTCCTCAGTTGCTCCAGGCGAATAGAGACCAATTGTTGTGCCTTGGATGGCCGTTTGAAAGCTTTTAAGAACCCATGCACTATGCAACAAACTAGGATGTAGAACAGAAGCAAAGAAGCACTGAACATGTTGTTAGGCCAATTAACTGGGATGTCTCATGTAACCATGACCCTAAACATCCAAACCAAGGTGTCAAATTCCATGAGTGTTTTGGTTGTACATTAGCCTCAGCAGCTTCTCTTTTTGTTGTTGTCAATATATCACACAACTTTTTCCAATTCAACTTTTTATAGGTGTACAATTTATTGACAGCAATTATAATAATCGGCTGTGCAATCCTACCCTTATTCAATGTGATATTTTCCATTATCGTTAATCTCCCCTTTGCCCCTCCTTCCTTCCTCTGGTAACCACTAATAAACTCTGTTCTCTATACATTTGCCCTATCTTTTTATATAAGTGAGGTCATACAATGTTTGTCCTTTTGTGACTGATTTATTTCACTCAGCATAATGTCCTCCAGCTCCATCCACATTGTAGCATCTACCAAGACTTCATTTCTCCTACTGGCTGCGCAGTATTCCACTGTATGTGCATACCATATTTTATTTATCCATTCATCTGTTGATGGGCATTTAGGTTGTTTCCACCTTTTGGCTATTGTTGAATAGTGCTACAACGAACATAGGTGTGCAAGTCTGCGTCTCTGCTTTCGAGTCTTTTGGGTATACACCTAGGAGTGGAATTGCTGGGTCATATTGTAGTTCTATTTTTAGTTTTTTGAGGAACCGCTATGCTGTTTTCCACAATGCTGAACCATTTTGCATTCTCACCAGAAGTGGGTAAAGGGTTCCAATTTCCCCACATTCTCGCTAATATTTGTTATTTTCAGTTTTTTTTAATCTTAGCCATCCTATTGGGAGTGAAATGGTTTTTCATTTGCATCTCTCTGATGGTTAATTGCACTGAGCATCTTTTCATGTGTTTGGTAGCCATTTGAAAAGTCCTCATTGGTGAAATGTCTATTCAAGTCCCTTGCCCATTGTATGATTGGGGTGTCTTTTTGTGAAGTTGTCGAAGTTTTATACACATTTTGTTTATTAGACTCTTGTCGGATACGTGGTTTCCGAAGATACTCTCCCAGTCGGTAGCTTGTCTTTTCATTTTTTTGGTAGTCTTCTGATGAACAAATGTTTTCAATTTTTATGGGGTCCCATTTTTTAATTTTGTCTTTTGTTGTCTGTACTTTTGTTATTAGGTAATCCATTGTTCAAAGCTAGGCCCGACAGCGTTGTCCTTGCTTTTTCTTCTAAAAATTTTATGGTTTAGCTTTCACATTTAGATCCTTAAACCATTTTTAATTTGTTTTTGTTTACGGTGTGAGGTATGGATCCTGTTTCATTTTTCTGCCTGTAGAAATCCAATTTTCCCAGCACCATTTATTGAAGAGACTCGTTTCCCCATTGAATGGACTTAGCACCTTTGTCAAAAATCAGTTGACTGCAGATGTGTGTCTGAATGGTATTTTGCTTTTCTTTATACATTTACTACACACACACACACCCCAGATACAGATACAGTTGTGCTCCACTTAATGTCCACGATGCATTCTGTGAAATAGGATGTTATGTGACTTGAACATTGTGCCAACGTGCCTAAATTGTGAGCAATAGCATTCACTGATTTTCCACCTTCGCGTTGTTTAATAACCTTTTGTTTCACTTCCAAATTGATATTTTTCCTTTGCCTCTTGCTGCTGTCACTAGCACTGGTTTTGCTGCATTTGGAAGCCATGATGCACTTCACAGAATATTTTCGAAAGCAAATTAAACAGAGAGATAACGCTACGACACTCAAAAGACGCACAATACACGAGATTGGATACTACTGCCTATGGATTGATGCACACACTGTTATATGATAAATTTTTTATTTGTACGTAGGGAAAGTCACATTAAAATAATGACAGAAAGTACAGTACAGTACATACATAAGCCAGTAACAAAGGCATTTATTATGGCTGTCAAGACAAACGTATTATAAGTTATATGTGTATTGTACCATTATATGCCTGGTAGTGCAATTGCTTTGTATACAAGAGACACGAGATACACATGTTGCGTGAGGGAAGCTTTGCGTTCACTACGTCCCGTCCTCCGGTTGGGATTTCTGAACTCTATTATAAACTTCTGGGACCACAGACATATATGTGGTTGGATGTTGCATGTACAGTATTATGTGGCACATAACTGTATATATATACATACGTATCTCTAAACAATTTTAGTTTATTGTTACCTGGCTTCGACCTTCATATTTATGGAGTCGTATTAAATATAAGGTTCTATGACTTATTTTTTTAATCCAGTTTTTGAGATTCATTCACTTTAATGCAGAGCTGCAGTTTATTCATGTACTGCTGTATAGCATTCTATTGAATGAATATATCAACATCTACTTATCCATTTTACTGTTAATGAATTTGTGCTTATTCTCAAGTGTGGTAGGCTGAATAATGCTTCCTCCACAACCCTAAACGTCCACATCCTAATTCACAAAACTTGTGAATATTACATGTTACCTTATATGGCAAAAGGAACATTGTAGATATGATTAAGTTAAGGATTTTGAGATGGGGAGATTATTTTAGATTATCCAAGTGGCCCCAGTGCAATCATAAGGGTCTTTATAAGAGGGGATCAGGAGTATCAGTGTAAGAGAGAGATGTAATGACAGAAGGAGAGGTCAAAGAAGAGGCACGCTACGCTGTTGGCTTTGAAGATGGAGGAAGGGGCCAAAGCTAAGTAAACGGCCTCTAGATGTTGGAAAAGGCAAGGAAATGGATTCTCCCCTAGAGCTTCGAGAAGAAATGCAGCCTTGTCGATCCATTTTAGACTTATGACCTCCACAAGTGTAAGATAATAAAATTGTGCGTTTTAAGCCATTAAATTTGTGGTAATCTGTTATAACAGCAACCGGAAAGTAATACACCACGTTATCTACCTATCTCTATTTTAAATATTGACACTCTAAATTTTTGAAAAATGTCCCCTAGCACACAAGTGTAGAAGTCTCTTTAGGGCAAATACCTAGAGTGGAACAGCATAGGGATGTGCACCTTCAGTTTTACTAGGGACTGCCAAATTGTTTTCTGAAATTGTTACATCAATTTACACAACTAGCAGCAGCAAATGAGAACTCCCATCACTCTGCATCCTTGCACTTGGTAGCATCAAACTTTAAGAACTTTTGTTAATTTCTTGGGGGTAGAAAATGGTATCTCTTTTCATGTGTTTATTGGCCACATTCGCTTTTTTGTGAAATTCCTGTTCATGTCTTTGCCCACTTCTCTTATTTATTTTTTGGAGATTATTATATATTTAAATCTTTATCTGTTGGGTTTTTAAATATCTTCCATCAGTTCGTGACTTGTTTTTCACTTTCTATGTTTTTTGGTGTAAAGGAGATCTTAATTTTAATAAAACTGAATTTATGAACAATTTATTTTGTGGTTTGTGCATTTCGTGTCTAATTTAAGAACTCCTTTACAACCCTGAAGTATTAAAAAATTTGTCTCACATTTAACTTCTTAATCTACATGTTCTTAATCTGGAACATACTCTATGGCAGCAACTTAATTAATTTTTTGCTGACAACAAATTGTTATGAATACTTACCGTGTGTCAGGCATAATAAAAATGAGGATAACTATTATTAAATAGTAGCAATTTTAAGGCACTTACTATTGCTAGGGGTACAGTTATAAAGATGGAGAAAGAATCAAAAATAAATACCAACAGTTCTGTGCTTAGGTGTTTATAATAGAGTAGTGGTTAACTTGACAATTCATTCTACTCCACTAATCTGCCAATAGTGCCTGTCTCATACATCAGAGTGGCTGTCTCATATATCAGAGCTCAGCTAGTAACTTTTCATATATGCTCTAGCATCTATTTCTTGACTCTCAATCATATAGACTGGCCTGTCTACATCAATACTAGAACGTTAGTTATTATAGCTTTACAATAATTACTGAAACACCTAAACAGACAAAAAATGATTTTGTCTCTCTCAGGAAGGTAGGTGCCAGAATAGGAGTAAGCAAACTTTTCTTGTGAGGGTCAAATAAATATTTTAGGCTTCATGGGCCAGATGGTCTTTGTTATAACTACCCAACTTCATTGTTGTAGTGAGAAAACAGACTGTACAGAATGAATGTGGTTGGGTTCCAATAAAATTATTTATGAAAGAAGGCTGCAGACTGAATTTGGCCTATAGGCTATAGTTTGCTGACCCCTAGCCAGGAACATTGAGTCACATATAGGACCTGTACGAGTCTGATCCTACCAGAGACTGCTTAAAGAATCACTTTGTCCCACAAGAAAAATATACCACCTAAAAATACCACTATATCTAAACTCCTGTTTTCTTTAGTCCAATGTCATCATTCATTACAAAATTTCCCATTAGGTTTTTAATGATGATCCACTTGCCTTTCTGCGCTTCTTCCCTACTTTACTAAGAAACCTATTATATTTAATAATTCATTGACTAATTGTAAATTTTACACAGTGTAAATTAAGTGCTCAAGTAAATGTTTATTGAATTTGGTCTGGTCCTTTTGAATAACACTAAACTTATAGAAAATAACAAAAAACTAATAGTAATCTACCATTAGCTTTTCAAATGTAAGATTATGTTAACGGATTTAAACTTTAATAGTTGTGGTTACATTTTACACAATCTCTAGTGATAAACAGAGAAAAGATCGAGGTTGTCAAGGATTTCATTTTACTTGGATCCACAATTAACACCCATGGAAGCAGCAGTCAAGAAATCAAAAAATGCATTGCACTGGGCAAATCAGCTGCAAAAGACCTCTTCATCTTCATTTTTGCTTGAAAAGCAAAGATGTCACCTTGAGGACTAAGGTGCAGCTGACCCAAGCCATGGTGTTTTCAATCACCTCATATGCATGTGAAAGCTGGACAATTAATAGGGAGGATCGAAGAAGAATTGCCTTTGAATTGTGGTGTTGGCGAAGAATGTTGAATATACCATGGACTGCCAAAAGAATGAACAAATCTGTCTTGGAAGAAGTACAACCAGAATGCTCCTTAGAAGCAAGGATGGCGAGACTACATCTCATATACTGTCATGGATTGAATTGTGTCTTGCAAAAATATCTGTCAACTTGGCTGGGTCATGATTCCCAGTATTGTACAATTGTGTACCGTTTTGTAATCTGATGTGATTTCCTTACATGTTGTAAATTCAATCACTATGATCTAATAAGATGGATTAGCGGCAGTTATACTGATGAGGTATACAAGATTGGATAGTGTCTTAAGCCAATCTTTTCTGAGATGTAAAAGAGAGATGCGAGCAGAGACACATGGGAACCTCATGCCACCAAGAAAGCAGTGCCGGGAGCAGAGCGCGTCCTTTGGACCTGAGGTTCCTGCCCAGAGAAGCTCCCAGACCAAGGGAAGACTGATGACACGGACCTTCCTCCAGAGCTGATGCAAAAAGCGTTCCCCTGGAGCTGATGCCCTGAATTTGGACTTACAGCCTACTGGACTGTAAGAGAATAAACTTCTCTTTGTTAAAGCCATCCACTTGTGGTGTTTCTGTTACAGCAGCTCTAGATGACTAAGACACATACTTTGGACGTGTTATGAGGACGTATCAGTCCCTGGAGAAGGACATCATGCTTGGTAAAGTAGAGGGTCAGTGAAAAAGAGGAAGACTCTCAATGAGATGGATGGACACAGTGGCTGAAACAATGGGCTCAAGCATAGCAACAACTGTGAGGATGGCACAGGACTGGGCAGTGTTTTGTTCTGTTGTGTATAGAGTCGCTACGAGTCGGAACTGACTCGACGGCACCTAACAACAACAGTGATAAGTAACTACTGGATTAACACTGAGGACAGTGTAGTAGTTATAAGTAATAGAAAGTTATAGGCACTAGGGATTTTGGAAATTATTTAGTACAACCCCTTCATTTTGCAGACGAAGAAACTAAAGACCAAAAGTAAAGTGGTACATGCAAGTGGAGTTTCTCAACCTAAGGCATCCATTGTACATTATGAACTAACTTTTCTCCTATACCACTAGAATGGTACTATTATATACCATACTTGGGAGAATGGGAAACATAGTTATTCAAATCATTTTCTGGTCTGTGGTTCAAAGGAGCAATCCTGGTTGAAAAAGGCTCCATGCAAGGTTAGAGTCACTAAACCCATTGCCATTGATTCCAACTCATAGCGACCCTACAGGACAGAGTAGAACTGCCCCATAGGGTTTCCAAAGGGCAGCTAGTGGATTCAAACTTCCGACCTCTTAGTTAGCAGCCAAGCTCTTAACCACTGTGCCTCCAGAGTCACTAAGTGGTTGAATTAGGTAGAACTGGGTAGAACCCAGGTTTTCTGATGAAGTATTCCACAGTGCTTTCCTTATGTCTTATTACGAAGCAATGAGGAGACTGGGCAAGCAAGAAAGCAAGAGTTCAATGTCTTTCAGGAGAAATGATGAGAAGCAGGGTATCACATGCTCATAAAGTTTCCAATAAATGAAAGCCTACTAATGAGGTATGAGTTTTTTCCTTCTTAAACCACTCTCAACTACAAACACATTATCATCTAACAAATTACCCAGGAGTTTTAAAGTTTAGCAATTTACCTTTGCTTTTAGGTCTCTGTACAGCAGCTTGGAGGAATAGTTTTATTATTGAACTTTCAAATATGTGAAGAGTGAGGCTAAGGTAAATACATCATGTTTCAAAAACTCTTTATTCTATGTTTATATGAAATCAACAGAAAGAAACACATTTCTCATAAACCATACTTTTCCATCTCAATCGTAATGAAATCTTAAATGTACTAGTATGTTTTTACTATACAGAACATGGCCTGGCACAATATCATCATATATTGTTGATGTAGTAAGTATCATAGTATGCTGTTTATGTTAGTAAAGCAGTTTATTTTATAAAATGCAGAAGTATTCCCTGAATCCCCTCGCCATATCACTAGATAGGATTCTTGTGATAAATTTTTACTAGACTTATTTTCCATAGAAATAAGATTTATCATGTAATTTCTACAGAAACAAAACAGAAATATATCAAAAATTTTAAAAAAAGGTTTGTTAGAATGTAGGAAAGACCTTCCCAAACTTACCTCCACAGACCCTACATGTGTAGCAACCATTTCTAAAAGACGCTGCAAGTTATTTCCCACTTTTCGTCTTTCTTCACTTGTGGTCTGCGCAACTAACTGGTATCTGTAGAATAAAATGCTTGCTTTAGTCACCTAGGAAGAAACTAATATATCAGTTCTACTTAGCTCATTTTCCATTTCCAAACTCAATAAAACCAAGCTGTGATTGGTATATGTGCTGCCTCGTATATGTATGATTCATAGAGGTCCCGCTATTAATCATTAAAACAGAAGTAAAAGCATCTTCACGAATCCTTTGCAAGTTAGGTTAATATACCAGTAGAAACACAACAAAGAGGTCAGTTTTACTCAATCAAATATTCACCAAAACAGTATTTCCTGACTTATGAGTGTAAGGACATTAAACACAAAGATTGTACATTGAGCTCTTCTTGGAGAACTGATTAAACATATATGACACTAAATAAATTCTTATTATTTTATGATATATTTTAGTATTCTACCACCTCAGTTAGTAGGTGTGGGCCCAAGGTCTAGGTATGTGAGTACTAAACAAAACAAAACCTCTGATTAAATACATAAATTTCTGGAGCAAATGGTCTTACCTGAGCCTCCAAAAAAATTGTAAGCTTTCAGGGGCAAGATGGTTAGATAAACTTGTGAAAGGGGAGTAGACGAGTAACGCATTGTTTATGACTAAAGTGTAGGGTGGGGTCATAGTTAATTGGAGAGTAGAAGTCCTGCCTTTAGGCATTCAAATTCAGATTCAAAACTGTAGCCCAAACAAATCATAACTGAGTTTTCTACCCCTAGTCTGTTGTTGCTGCTGTGTGCCCTTGAGTGGACTCTATAGGACAGAGTAGAACTGCACTGTATTTTTACTAAAATAATGCACGCCTTCTACGTTTGTTTGCCAACTGTGTCCTACCCCCTCCGCCCCTGACACTTTTGTAAGTGCACTATGCTAATTTTTTTTACAACAACATGTAAAAAAACATTGGCATAGTGGCGCTTATGAAAATACCTTGTGTGGGGCGGGGGAGGAGGGTGTGGTTGGCAAACAAATGTAGAAGATGCATGTTATTTGTGTAAAGATATGGTAATATTTGTGATGGGGTGGGGTGGAGGAGATCACCAGGTCCCTTCTCCCTTAGAGCGGTTTCAAACTGCCAACCTTTCCATTTTAACAGCGGAGTGCTTAACCATTGTGCAACCAGGGTTCATTCCCCTAGCCTACTAATGAGGAAATAAAGAATTGTGACTTTCTCAAGGCTTGTACTTGCAACTTTAATAAGATTTTTTTGTTATTTGAGGGTCAGTTGAGATTAAAGGAGCTCTGGTGGTGCAGTCGTTAAGTGCTCAGCTGCTATCTGAAAGGTCCGTGGTTCAAACCCACCAGTCACTGCGGGAGAAAGATATGGCAGGCTGCTTCTGTGAAGATTTACAGCCTTGGAAAGCCTATGAGGGCAGTTCTACTCTGTCCTATAGGGTGCTACGAGTAGGAATTGACTTGACTGCAGTGGGTTTGGTTTTTAATGGAGACAAAAAAAATGTGTATATTTTTATATAAGAGTACACAGAGCCTATAGATTCAATATATCAATGTATATCAGTACATGAAAGAATTACATACAGACTATTCTTTAAAGAAAGGATGTCACTAGTTTTAGTTATAGTTATTACTTAGTGTGACTAAAATGTTTCCTATGAGTTTTAAAAATTGTAATGGAAACCAATAGCAAAAACCTGACACTGTATAATTTGAGTATAAGTAACTTCTAAAAAATATAACATGACATACAGTCAGTTCTGCTATAATGCTTATTTAGAAACAGGAATTTGTTTCAACTTGATTGATATATTAGGTAGCAATTTGAGCATAATGAAAATTTAGCCTTAGCATTTGCTGATTTCCATCATGAGAAACATGAGGTGAGCCCAGAAAATGGCACCCAGCTGAGTTCAGATGCACAGGGGCACACAAAACACAAATACTTCAAACATCTACCAGCTATCTCAGTTCACTGCATGTATTATAAGCCACACACTCATCCACAACTGGTTACAATTTTCCATCTGACTTCAGATAATGCTCCTTCCACCTCTTCACAAGAACTCAAAAACTGCAACGCTTCTGACATCCAGTTCCCCAAGCAAACTTCAGGTCTTTTTCAAGGTAAAGTGTCATATTTATCATAGAACTTACACATTTCTTAACTACCCAATATATGTAAAGTGTGCTAACATTTTTTATTCCTATTTTTTGTTTATGTGTGTCCCTGATGAAGTTTTTGAATGTTGTGCCCCAATCCTAATTTTCCTCTAAGTCTTGTGGTTTTTATTGCATGATTTTGCATAGCATGGTAATTTTTAAGAAGGGAGATGCTGCGTTATAAGACTGTATAATTTATAGTCTAATTACATTTCAGTATAAATATATATAATTTCTACAAAATATATCTTAAAATAAGAGAAGTTTAGGGAGTTTAGTGACTTTATTAAAATTCACCAATAAACAGCCAAAGTTATTTGACCTCATTTAAAATTCTATGTTGTTTTTAGGGATTAAAAGCCACTTATAATTATACATAAAAATGAATGATTTTTTCAGTAAGGCACTAACTTTAGTAGTAGTAGAATGTATCTGTAGATAGAAAGTATTTCAAGTTACAGGCAAACTTGTAATTCTAAGTATGCTGTTCTGCTTAAGTATCACTCCACCCCAAATAGCTCTATAAATTAAAGCAAATCAGAATAGACCTGGTTTTACATAACTGTTTAATAATTAATCTGAAACATCATAAATCTTAGAGATGAACTTACTCCCGCTGAATAGCATCTAATTCATTCATTGCTTCACTGAGGCCTTCATTAACCCCACTCTCCAGTAGGTGCTTGTGTTTCTCCAAGGACTCAAGCTCATTGGCACATTTTTTGTCCTCTTCCTCAGCTTCCTATAAGGATACACTCATGGTTATGGTTTTTGATAGTCACATGCTATATAGTCCAGTTGGATTATTTTCAAACCATTTCTTTATCAGATTGCATAATTTGTATTCTCAGGATGCTTACTGCTTTATGTGTGAAAGACTTAGAATGCTCCTTTGGGAATTCCATACCATAAACATAAATATGACCTTTTAAACAGGCCTGTGTAATAGGATTCACTCAGCAGTATTTTCAAGGCTAAACTACTAGAAAATCTTACGTTACTTTGTTTTAAAATTTTTTTTACATGTGCATCAAGGACTAATCTAGGACTAATCTAGGAATAACTCTTATACTACTGTCATTTTACATTTGCATTAACTATATGTATCAACCATATTTTCTAGCTTCTGTAAAATGGTATTTTAACACCCACACCAAGTAACTCTTCTCCTTTGGTAAACGTCCCAAGCCCTAAAGTGTATTTCAAATATAGGTGACCAATAAATTCCCCGTGTACTCTGCCTTCTTCCTGTCCCGTTTTCCACTAAAACCACAATAAAGATGCCTGCCCTTTCCATCTCTGCCTGTGACCACCCCCCGTTTTTCCTGTGTGGTCCTGCTGAGCGTTCTGTGAACACCAGGGACTATGAGTATAATAAATCTTTACGTGCTTCCATACCTTATCATATCTTCAACATTTACCATCATATCAAGCTAAAACAAAGTACTCAAATTCCTCAATTCTTACATTTCTCAAGATAAAGTATCATAAAGTGCTTCATTTAAGTGCTTCAGAGGATAAACTAAGTATTGCCACGGAGGACATATGAAACAATAAAAATGGTTAACAAATGTCTCACATTTTATATGTAGTGGTATATTTTCTAAAAATTTCACAACAGACTTAAAAAAAGTTCAGGCCTTAAATATGATACAGGTCAAGAGAAAAGTTTTGAATTTCTGACACTTGATTGACACAGCTTTGGCTAACTCATACAGACCGTGACAAAGTTCTTACCTTAACTTTGTGTTGATAAAGGTCATCCAGCTTTTGAACTTCTTCTTTCAGAGTTCTCACACTTCGCTTGCTTTCTGTTACCATTATATTCAACTAGGGGAATAAAACTTTGGTTGAGAAATTATAACTATACATAAAATATTTTTTTAACAAATTATTGAATTTTTATATTGGCAATCAACTAATAGAACCATATGGTTTCTTCTGGTTCTTTTGGACTCTCACCTATCATTTGTCTAAAAATTTTATATTCCTCAATGCTTTTTAATGTATAATTAATTTATACTTGTAGTACAAATAAAATGCACTTAGGAAAGGAAACATACCTAATGGTTAAGAGGAAATACTAATTACCAAGTTTAAATGCAAAGTGGTAAAGTAGGACACTCGTTAGGAATCAAAACTCTGGTTTAATTCCCAGTAAAATAAGGATACTAATATCTGCTCTTTCACCAGTGGCTGTGAAAGTGTTTTTTTCTGCTGCTAACGAAAAAGTCAGCAGTTTGAATCCACCAGCTGCTCCTTGGAAACCCTATGGGGCAGTTCTACTCTGTTCTATAGGGTCGCTATGAGTTGGAATCGACATGATGGCAATGGAATTTTTTTTTTTGGTAGATATTATATTAATATTACATACATTACATGTGTTAATATATTACATATCTCATAAATTGTTTTTGATCCCTAGTTTTGAAGTCTAGTTCTATTAGATATTATCTACTTTAGCTAGTTATCTAGCTTTCCATTTATGCAATCACTTTCTGGGATGTTAAAGAGAACTATTTATATAAATTTTATTGGATTATGTTTGCTAATTGCTTACAGTCATGCATGCTTCCAAAGAGCAGTAACCATATTTAATTTTGCTAAAGCGTGAATTTTAAGATGCGTTGACAGCAAAACTGAGAAAAAAAAAAAAAAGTTTTTTTCTGAAGTTCATTTCCTGTTGACAAATACTGATACCAGTTGATGCCAGTAATACAAAATGTTCTTCAGCTAGACCCAGAGGAAACAGAAAACAGCAATGTATAAAAAGCTGACATTTTTTTTTTTAAAGAGGATGATTCCACACATACATGGAATTAAAAAAAAAATGCATGAATTTTAGGAAAAATTCAGTCAAACTATTGTTATCTGGGAAAAGGTTGGCTGGGTGGTCAAAGAACTACATTAAAGAAACATGTAGCTTCTCATTTAATCATCAAAAATCCCTTGAAAGGAAAGTTTTTTTTTGCTATAAGTGAAAAGAGAGGGGATGGAAAGAATGCTATTTGCTCAAGGTCACACAACAAGTAAATGTCCAGTACTCAAAGCTAGATGTTCTAACTCCCAGGACCTTTTCTATAATACCACCTGCCTTTCAATTTAAAGACTAGAGTTAATGAAGATATAACCTTAGCTGCTAGTCTATTTTCACACGTATAATTCAGTGACACTAATTACTCATGTTGTGCAACCATTATCCCTATCCTTTTCAGAATTACATGATTTCATTTTATATCTTACAGTTTGTTAGCCAAAACACAATAGTTTTTGAAGTGCTGACTTATTAGTGTTTTCCTTTAATTGTTTGGTGTTATATAAACAATATCCTTCGTGTACATTTGAGAAGTAGCTTTTTAACTTTTCTTAATCGGCTACAACAATGTTTGAAGATGATTGAATATAATAGTAGTGCTCTCTCTCAGGGATACTGGCAATATTATGTTCAAGGATCTCTGAAGCAGGAACTTTCTGAAAACTACTTTTGGAAATAAACTTTTATATGCATTTAGGTTTGAGTTTCCCTGAATTTCATGACCCAGAATGAAAAACTTTGTAAAAAGAAACCTCTTGCTCTGTCACAGCTAATTTTAAGGTAGTTACTTCAAATCCCTTGTGGTATAAAAAGGAATATTATTAAATTATCTCAAGTTATAGGAGGCAATTCTTTACTTAAAAAAAAAGGGGGGGGATGTTTACTCAGTTTTCTATCACTTCATCAATGAAATGTGAATCCTAGGATGTTTAAGTTATTTACTGTACTTCAAATGTTTCCAAATCAAGGTTAGTCGACTCTCCATTTGTCTTAGTCATCTAGTGCTGCTCTAACAGAAGTACCACAAGTACTCCTGGACTAGGAGCTTCTTTGCGCAGGGACTCCGACCCAAAGGACGCACTCTGCTCCCGGCACTGCTTTCTTGATGGTATGAGGTCTCCAACTCTCTGCTTGCTTCCCTTTCATCTCTTGAGAGATAAAAGGTGGTGCAGGCCACACCCCAGGGAAACTCCCTTTACTTTGGATCAGGGGTGTGACCTTAGTAAGGGTGTTACAATCCCACCCAAATCCTCTTTAACAAAATTACAGTCACAAAATGGAGGCCAACCACACAATTCTGGGAATCATGGCCCAGCCAAATTGATACACACATTTTTTGGGGGACATAATTCAATCCATGACACCATTTTTCATAATTTTATTAAAAAATTCATTCTTTAGCAATGAGAAAACACAAATCACATTTAATTTTTATGTTTGAAAACCCTTATTTTTGCTTTTAATGACTTTGTTTCATTACTTACTTGTTCTAAGGTATCCTCTAAACCCATTTTTTTATTTAGAACTTTATTAATTTCTTCTTCAGTTTGGTTCAGGAGTTCCTTGAGTGGTGCCTATAAAACACACAGGAATGTGGGTTATATATGACATGCGTATTCGTCAAATTTCTCTCATGAGGCATTTACAACTTGTGATGGGAGAAGCCACTTGTGGTTTAATACATCAGAGAAAAAAGTGAAGCCATGACATTTTATAATATAAACTAATATACCATCAACAAGAAAAAACAAACTCTGAATTTTTAATGTAATTTCTGTAACTGTAGAATGTAATCTTTTTTTTTCTTTTAGAGTTAGTGTTCAGTGTTTGGGTTTAGGTTTAGGGTTAAGGATACATTTAGATTGAGGGTTAAGGTTTGGTTTAGGTTTTCAGTTAGGGCTAGGTTTTAGTGTTTGGGTTTAGGTTTACTTCTAGGGTTAGCACTAGGGTTATGATTAGTCTTTAGGGTTAGGTTTAGTGTTAGGGTTAGTTTTAAGTTTAGAGTTGGTTAGAGTTATGTTTAAAGCATGCGTTATATTTAGTTTTAGGTTTAGGGTTAGCATTAGGTTTAGGTTTTAGGTTAGATTTAGGGTTAAGTTTATGTTAAGGTGTGGGTTAGGATTAGGTTTTGGGTTAGGGTCACATTTATGTTTAGGTTTGGGGTTAGGGTAAGGTTTAGGTTTAAAAGTTAGGTTTGGTAATTTGCTTTTTTTTCTTTTTTATTAATACTGGCAAAATTCTAGATTTGCCATTTAAAAATTTAATTTTAACCAATAGTTATGGTTACTTTATATAGAGCCTACTTTAGCCTGAGTTCTTAGTTATTCTGCAAATTCATATTCATTATTTAAGTTTATTGCAGTATCTTACTTTCAAAACAATTCATATATAGGTTGTATTTTTATTCTGTATCTCTTAGATGCATAAATTTCTCTTAATCCTTGTCAACTGTTTAGTCCTACAATTCTCTGCTTATATTTCTTATGTTTACTTTCTGTTTTACTGATTTTATTTCAATATAGTACTTCACTGATTCCCATTATGTTTTTCTTTTTAACTGAGGTGAATCCACATTTTAACACGGTTAAACAGAAATGGTTAGGCTAAAATGAATTTACGATAAAACTAACCATTTTAAAGTGTACAATTCAGTGGCATTTAGTAGATTCACATTGTACAACCATCACCTCTAGTTCCAAGATATTTTCATCACCCCAAAAGAAAACCCCATACCCCACTATGTTTTAAGTAGGCTTTTTGAAGTTTTTAATGAGTTTTAATTTTGGCCTGCTAATTTTTGAAAGATGCAATGGCTACTTTAATCTAAGAACTGATTTTCAACTTTTCTTCATATATATTTGTAACACTTGGGATTGCATGACAGTGATGCTATTTCTATTTTTACTGTTCTATTATTATGTAATAGGAAGAAAGGCCTGGCGATCTAGTTCTGAAAATCAGTCAATGAAAACCCTGTGGATCACAATTGTCTGATACACAGTGTTTCGCTCTATTGTGCATGAGGCCATCTCAACGGCAGCTAACAACAGATTATGCTGTAAAACTATTCCTAGGGGTCACAGAAAATTTTGTCCGTTTTTGAGCACACACATTCTGTTTGTTCTGGGTAACCTGCTCTACTTGATGGCACCTAACAACACAACAACCTCCTCTACAGTGATTTAATTGTGGTAATCATTGTCTTGTACCAGCCATGGCAAACTACTCAAAGCAGTGGTGAGCAAACTCCATTTATCTATTTGTTGATCTGTTTACTTGAAGAAGAATTCAGTGAAAGATAAAATGTTTACTCCATATATTTTTTCTATTGAAAATGAGTCTAGCTTTATTTAATTAATGTCTGTTCACCAAAAGACTAATTGCTGTGGAAGCAGGAACTGTATCTGTTTTGGGTTATATTTTATCTCTAGCACTTAGCTGGTCTGGAACATAACAGGCACTCGATATTTGTTGAATGAATGAATGTTTCTCAGGCAGAAATACAGTCTTATGACTTAGAAAATAATCATTATTATTACTTTGATTGTAAAACTATCATATCCTTACTACTCAAATCAACAATCTTTTATTTAAAAACTAAGTATTTTGAAAATTGGCATTTTTGAGGGGGTTACAAAAATTCTAAAATCTGTAAATGGTTGAGAAGTTGCAATACAGCAATTTTAAAATTTTCTTTGCCAAATTATGACTTTAGCCACATTTCAAAATTAGGTACCAATTTCTCATCATTGAGTGCTAGTGTTATTTAATGCCCTATTACATTTCATGCCTTCGTGTGTCCTTATGCCTGGAGCCCTCTCCTGTGGACTGCCCCTATAAATAACTCATCTTTCACCATTTCATCCCAGTGTCACCACCCACCACCTCTATGGAGTCTGTTCTGCTCAGTGGGAAGAAGGACTTTGTTACCGTTATCTGTAAAGATTTCTAATAAAGCACATACATGACATTTATTTATGTCTTAAGGAGACCTGAGGAGGCCACCAGCAACTTGGGAAAAAGGGTCAGCTCATATTTGTCTTTATAATCCTGGTATCTATCATAGAGCCTTACAAAATGTACTATATGTAATCAAATTTTTTTATTGGATAGTTGAATAGATAAGGTAGATAGAGAGGAAGAAAAGGTTTTATAATTTGAAGAGTAACACACAATTAAGAGAAGATTTCTACTACCAAGAAGAAAGATGATAAAAAGTTTCAGTGTTTTATTTCTGTGTAGTCCTGAGTTATGGACATGCTGACTTTTAAACACTTACATATAAATATATGAACCAGTGGTCAATCATATAATTTAAAAACCTTTTAAAGTATTCATAATTACTTACATAAACTTGAGCCTTGTATTTGACAAGGCAGTTGGCACCAGCCTCAGGGTTAAACTTAATTTCAAAGTCATAACCTTTGGAATTCTCAGCACCCTTAGGGATGAGTTTTAATTTTCTAGCCAACTTATGATATTCTGCTAACTGTGCTTCAATCTGTAAGGAGAGAACAACAGTAAACAAAAAGAAACGTTAAAAAAAAAGTCCCATTCTATCCACTTTTCAATTGTCATTTCTGCAATTTTACATGCAGTGAGTCCACTTTTTAGTAGTTTAGTAATTTAGTATTTTTTAGTAGTAAGGTGGCTATTTTAAAATATACAAATGAAATGTGTTGTTTACACTAAATTTGTAGAGTAATCTTAACACTATAATTGATTAGTAAGCAATATACTATCATTCTTGCATTTATCTGACAAATATTTAGGAAAAAGGGTTCATACTGAGCTATTAATTAAAATTTTTAAATTTTACTTTTTAAAGTACCAGATAGAGAAATTATTAAAAAACAAACAACCTTTAGCTTTGTCAATGTAGAAATTAAAGCATTCCATCTAAAATAAGTGAAATGTAATTAAAGTGTCAAAATGTTATTTTAACTGTTTTGATGAAAATATTTTAGGAACATATTCAACATTTCCCACTCACATTTATTCCTTCAAAACTGTTCAAATTACATTATCAGAAAAGCTTTCCCTCTAATACAGTCCCTAAATTTCTCTTTCTACCCCCTCACTTTTTTTCCTGTAATTTTTGTTTTATTTTTCTTTATAGCACTATCACTACCTGACATGCAACTTATTTTCACGCTGCTTCCTTCATTTAATACATATTTAGCTTCTCACTGCTGTTACCCATCCTAAAAATGAATAATTTGAATGAAAAATACAATGGCAAGAGCACACATCCAGAACTTGCTTAAATAATTTACAATTTCCAAAACTGTATCAGACCTCAAAAGCAATACTACCTATATTACATTTTAGCTTTTTTTAAATTAATGAATCAGAATATCACTTCATTTATTATACTGCAATGTAGTAGCTCTCTAGAGATGACTAATGTAGGTCTGTTTGTCCTAAATGGTCCTAGAATTGTAAGTTTTCTAGGAGCAGTTTCTTCCGTTTTCATTATCATTTTTATCCAGTGAAAGCTGCTTTCACAAGTCCATGCACTTTATTGTGCTGCACTGCAGGGCAGCAAACGTGGCACCTCGGTCTCTTTCTCCTCTCTACCACCAGTTTAGACCCTGAAAACTCTTTCCTGATGAGACCAGATGCAGCCTAACGTTTACGTCAACAGAGAACTCCGGAGTTAGCACGTGAAATAAAAATCAGTCCAGAAAAAAGGTGATGGCTGAAATGTCTGTGCATTTTCTGAACTCCAGCAGTGTCCTTTCCAATCCTTCTTTCCTGACTCCCAGCTACCTAGCACACTAAGGCTTTCTTCACACGGTCCATTGTCCTTACTCTGGCCCCCTCACCAGGTCACTGCTCAACGATTTCCCAGGGTTTTCTTTCCTTTCAGTCTGCTCCTCCAAAAAAAAAAAATTGTTATTCTTTTTAGTACACCTGATTTTAGTTAGTCAAACTCAGACTTCACCTAGTCCAGGGATTCATAACTTTCCCTTTCCTACACAGTGCTTGAGATAAGATACATTCATCACTATCAGTTGAAGTAACTCAGTTTCCTTTTAGGGCTCTTCAGGGGCCTTTGCCTACCCAAAAATGCTGGTGTTTCCAAGAGTTCTGTCCTCATCCTATACATCCTCCCTTGGAGAATTCATCCACTCCTGTGGCTTCAATCACAATTTATAGATTTTTGCCAAATCTACATTGCAAACCCAAATATTTTATGCTGAGGTCCAGACCCATATATACAATAGCCTATTAAATATTATCACTTGGATGCCTCACGGATACATATCCAACATACCATCCCCATTCCTGCAGTAACTTCTTCCTTCTCCTGTATTCCTGAATTAATGGTACTACAACTTGCCCAACTACCCAAGCCAGACACGTGAAATATCTACACTGTGACTGCTTTCCCTCTCATTTGCCAGGTCTTATTTACTCTACCTCGTAAGTAGTCAGAATCTACCAACTTCTTTCAATCCCCACTAATAATTCCTAAGTTAAACTTGTAATTTCTCCCCAGATTGCTGCCATGGATCCTTATCTGACTGTCTTGCTCCCTTCCAACCCATTTTTCAAATTACCGAAAACAAGATCTTGTGAAGTCTGGTCATGTCTCCTTAAAAATTTCAGGCTAAGAGAAACTGACAGTTCCACAATAATAACAGAAGACTTCAACACATCACTCTTGGTAAAGGACAGAACATCGAAAAAGAAACTCAGCAAAGATACAGAAGACCTAAAGGGCACAATCAGCCAACTTGACCTCACAGACACATATGGAACATTCCGCCCTACAGCTGAAAGTACACATTCTTTTCCAATGCACATGGAACAGTCTCCAGAATAGACTACATCTTAGGCCACAGAGCAATCCTCAACAAGATCCAAAACACTGAGATAATACAAAGTATCTTCTCTGATCACAATGCCATCAAGGTAGAAATTAACAACAGAAAGAGCAACGAAAAAAATCAATTACATGGAAACTGAATAACACCTGCTTACAAACCTATGGCTAAGAGAAGAAATGAAAGATGGAATAAAAAAATTCCTGGAATCGAATGAGAATGAAAACACATCATATCAAAACCTTTGGGA